ATTTACCGTAAGTTTCACAGCAGTTTATGGTAAATAGTTTTAAGATGTATTTTGAACAGACCAAATTTCATTTGGTGTATAAATCAGAAGAAAAATCTGTGAGGACCAATGGAACCTGTCTTTGCTTTATGAGCTAAATCACCAGAATTACAGAATATTTGGCCTTAAACTCGCACGTGGTGAAAGCAGTTGGTAGTTTGGGGATGCATGTGTGTGCAAACTGCTGTGTGAGAATTGTGTCTTGTTTGTTTACTGTGTACTAATTAATCTAAGAAGGCATCTTTGTGTTCTGAAATTGCCTTAATGTGATGTTTTACCTTTAGTTAAACTTCACCCGAAAAGTCAGGTTGGAATTCCATATGGGAAGTTGGGCACAGCCCATCACAGCAGAGGTCTGGCCTTTCCATTTGGAAAACGAGAAAGGGAAAATACCTGCATGGTGCTGCATTCCTGGCTTCACCTGGTCATGAACTGACACGGGGGTGGAAATAAAATTACTCAGGTCCCACATACAAAGTGATTTTTATTTTTTCTATCTGCTTTTAGTTGTCAAGACTGCAAAAAAATTTGCCTTTTCTTCCCCCAAAGCACCTCTGTATCACCAGATTTTGTTTAAATATTTGCAAGCTGCAGAATCTCACTTTACCTTGTACCTGACTGACATGAACCAGTTTGGTTGGGCATGGTGTCCTGCACACAACAGTAATCCACCAAACAGTGAGCTGAGCCACTTTCTGTACACTTTGGAGATGAATTCCAGTATCTAAACTGTTGGGCGGGGGGGTGGGTTTAAGAAATGTGAGTATGAATTAATGTGCAGTTAATGAACTGTTGCAGCAAGTCCAGAGGAGGCCATGAGGTGGGTAAGAGGACTGGAGCACCTTCCCTATGGAGACAGGCTGGGAGAGTTGGGACTGTTCAGCCTGGAAAAGGGAGGGTTGTGTGGAGACCTCAGAGCACCTTCCAGTGTCTGAAGGAGCTGCAGGAGAGCTGGAGAGGGACTGTTGATCAGGAACTGCAGTGACAGGACAAGGGGGAATGGGTTCAGACTGACAGAGGGGAAATTTAGGTGAGATATACAGAGGAAATTCTTCCCAGTGAGAGGGGTGAGGCCCTGGCACAGGTTGCCCAGAGCAGCTGTGGCTGCCCCATCCCTGGAAGTGTCCAAGGTCAGGTTGGACAGGGCTTGGAGCAACCTGGTCTAGTGGAAGGTGTCCCTGCCCATGACAGGGGGTGGGACTAGATGGGCTTTTAGGTCCTTTCCAACCCAAACCAGTCTGTGATTCTGTAATATTCAGACATATTTCCATAATTGCATACAAATGGAGACTTTCCTGACAACAGTTGGTGTAACAGGTGTGAACAGTTATTGCCTCAAACCCACTCTGAAGAACAATGAAAACTTAAGAAATAATTTTGCACTATTGGTTAAGTTCTTGCTTTTTCTGAAGTTACATAGTTGTTTTTAGAGTAATAGCCACTGAGTAGTGAACTGGAAGAGGAAGGAGAGTCTCTCCATAATGAATAACCCAGTGCATCTTTTTGCAGCTATATACCGTGCTCCGAGAGAATACATGTGGCAGTAACAGAAATGGCAGCTCTGTTCCCAAAAGTAAGTACCTGCCAGCATCAAAATGGTTTTGGCCTCATTCCTCATGTGTAGATTTCCCTTCATAATAAAAACCAAAAACCAGAGGAAGGGAGAAATTATGAGGTGTTTTACACGTTGCACCTCTGCATTTATTAACATGGCAACTGGGAAGGGCTAAAGTGTGAATCCAGGCCTCTAATTGTACTCTTTAACTTAAAATTCTTAAGAATTGCGCATAGTTCCTCCAAAACTGGAGGCTACTTGGATCTAGCTTGAGGAGTTGTGTGGTTATATGGGAATTCCACTAAACTCATCACCCCCTTTTCCATCTGAGTGCTGGTGCCTGGATTTCTTACTTGCAGGCATGTTTAGATCAACAGATCTAAACCATCCACCAAAGTGATCTGTTTGTTCACAGCAAATTTAGGGAGAGACATCTCCATGACTGAGTTCTTGTGAACTTACCTACCTTTCTGAACTTACCTTACTACCTAAACTTACCTGCCTTTCTAAAACTGCCAGCAAAGATCTAAGGCTGTTGTGCCTGTCTGCACTGATCGTCCTGGACACGCTGTCCCCTCCTGCCAGCCAGGATATGGGCTGGGAGCAGGAAACAGGCACCAGAAAATGTGTATGAGTAACTTCCTACGGGAGAGTGAAGCAGCATTCCCTGTGCACTGCCTGGCAGGGGCTTGACATCTCCCTGAGATGAGAGAGGAGAAATTGCGTCTCCTGCCGCGCGGAGAGGCCTGTGCAGAAGGCCAGGGCCTGGCAGCAGATGTCCCCCATCAAAGAGCCCTTGTGAGCACTCCCAGCTGCTGAAAAGGGTTTTTGTTGTTCTGCCTAGTTCAGCTTCTGCTTTCCCTCCCCAGAAGCCCAAGTCGGAGCTGGTGAGGACGTCCTTGCGCCTGCTGACCTCCAGTGCCTACCGGCTGCAGTCGGAGTGCAGGAAGGCCCTTCCCGTGGAGAGCAGCCCCAGCACGGACATCCAGCTGGTCACACAGCAGGTCATCCAGTGCGCCTACGACATCGCCAAGGCTGCCAAGCAGCTCGTCACCATCACAACCAAAGAGAACAACAACTGAGTCACTCGGGGCTTTTTGGGGCTTGTTTTTTAAAGGTTGGATTTCGACACCTAGGTGTGGGACTATTCGAATTTTTATGAGGAAAAACTTAAAGGGGCAAGAAACTTTTTTTTTTTTTTTTTAAACTCAGTATTATTTTTGCATGTTTTCTAACAATCTTATGATTAATTTAACCCACTGCCTTATTCTGTGCCTGTGTTGCCAGTGTAGTTATGGATAATAGCATGTTGCAAATAGCTGTCGAGCCAATACCACGTCCCAGTGCTGTCTCGAGCTCTTGTAGATGTTTCCTTGGGGCCACGTTCTGCTTTCAGATCCTGCTTGTGGGACTCCTCTGGAACCACCTGCACGGATGGGAGGGCAGTGTCTGCCTTGCTCCGTCCATCCTGGAGCCTCACCTGCCAGGATCCCTCTGGATGAGGCTCCGAAGGCTCCGGGACCCTCACTGCCAACCAGCAGGAAGGAGGTTTGTCATCCTGGTAACGGGGTACAAGCCGAATATTCTCTCTTCCCATATCAACTGTTGTGCAATATGTTTTTAGTCTGCTAAACCAATAGTAGTTGTGGGCATCCAAGCTTGTTACGTGTAACTCTACAAGGTCTTTGTCACTTTATCTGTTTTGGAAGGAATTTGAAACTTAATAGTTATTTCTTTTAGTTGTCACTATGCCATTAATATATATGTTTGATGTTACTTTTAGGGCATTAGTGGTTAAAATATTATCCTTTGTTTCTGAGTTAGTAATTCATTCTTAAGTTTCCTACAGAATTTTCCTGTCATCTTCAAGGCACCGTCTTGTTTGCAGCAGCCTTGCTCAGTAACTCCACATCCAATTTCACTAAAGGTTTCTATGCTAATTAACAAAAAAAGGAAGTTAGAAGAGTGCCAGTGCAAAAGCAGCTGTGTCTGCCATGGTATATAACCTCTGTACCTCAACATATCCAAATGTGAAAACATTTCTTATATCTCCGAAGTTTTTTATGCAAATCCTTCAAAATTTGACAACTTACTGAGTAACCCCTGCCAGGCTGCCTGGCCCAAGGGTGGGTGGGTCCCCAGTGGCCACATGTGCTCCAGGTTTCTTCATTCCTAACAGTTCACAAAAGTGTGTCAGTCCATAATTTCAAAAATGAGACATTTTGGGAATCTGAATTTCAGGTGGGAGAGGAAATCATTGATTTTTGCTCTGCCTGTGTCCCATTTGGAAGTGTGTTGTTTCTGCCCAGGAGCTACAGCAGGGGTTGGTTCCTTTTTAAATTATGGTGTGTTTGCATGGATATCCAAACACAAGTGCCATAACACTGCTGGATTCCTGATGCTGTAACTGGCTTCCAGAGTCTGAGGGAGGAAGGAATGGAGAGAGGAGATGACAACTCAGTAAATTAATGTTCTTCACTGTGGGGTTTTATTTCCTTTCTGCCCTTCTGACTCCCAGAAGCATCTGTAGCCTGATGGGAACACAGGCAGGCTGAGATTAGAACTGCAAAAGACCTTTTTGAAACCTCCTTCAAAATCATGCTCCTGGCAATTAAATAGTGAGAATCTTCTAGGAACTTAAATTGGAATCACTGAAAGGCAGCAGCTGGTCTTTTTCAGTGTCTCAGGACACTTCTGTGTGCTGTTCTTTAACATATCTTACCTGCTTTCCAAAGCAGGGTGGCACTGAGTTATGGTGTTATTTATCTCTTATTTAAACCTGCCTTTGATCCAAACCCAAGGGACACTTTGGTAACTGCCAGCCCTTGCTCCAGCTATGCTGAAATCAGAGGGGTTCAAACCCAGCGGGGGAACCCACGAGCAGCAAGTTCATTAACCCTCCCATCACACAGCACTGCAGTCACAAAGTTTATAGCACCTGAAACAACAAAGGTGTTTCTTTTCTTTTATTACTAGATCTCCTCTTGTTCCCCTGTAAACAAACTTGCTCTTCCTTTACAAAATGCTGCAGAGGAAAGGAAAAGCTTTTTTGCCTTTTTTAAATCCTTGTATTTATCAGTGTCATTCTGTCTGTACAATATTTTGACCTAATCTTTTGTTTACAGTATTACTATAAAATGCTAAAACCCTTTCGGTGTGTGAAATAATTTGGGCTTATTTGACTGCTGCTTCTGGAAAGATCTTGGAAAAGGTTTCTCTAGTTGAGTAAAGTGCTGGGATGACTCCCGTCTTTGTCACAGCCCTGTATCAGCTCCTTGTGCTGTGACAGGACTGATTTCAAGGTGCAGTTGCCAATGATAACAGCAAGAAATCAAGTGCAATAATCAACTCAGTCTCCCCTCCTATTGTTTCAGTAGTTTGCTCATGAAAAGAAACAAATCCTTGCTCAAGTTTCATTCGCTCTTTATTACTGTAGTGAAAAACAACATTTAATGAAGTCTTCAGCACCTTCTGGAGAGGAATTGGACAAATTAAGAACTGGTGCCACAGCATACATTATCTGACTGATGTGCAAAGTGCATTATGAATTATCTCCTAAAAGCCAGCTGGGCACTCAGGCACATCCTGATTCTCAGAGGTGGGAGCCTGACAGAGCACATCCTGGTTTGCAGCTCCCCTTCCTTGTATTCTTTCATGGCTGAGATCCACAGGGCCCCATTATTTGCTATGTTGCCACAGCCCAGCTCTTACTAAAACATACCAGCACAACTCCAGTTCTCTGAGGGTGCTCACACCCCCACATTCTTGAAGGCAGTAGAAATTTGCTCTTGTTCAGCTGGGCCACAGCTAAATATTTTCACAAATCTACTGTAGCCTGTCCCAGAGCCACCATTGTTTCAGGAGTTCCTTGAGTCTTCAAAGTTCTCTTTCTGTAGTCTGGAGCTGCATTCAGTGCTCGTTCCTCAGGTCCATGGTGCCTTTGGGTAACTGTAGACCTAACAGGGTCAGAACAAGGACCAGAACTGGTTTATGGGCTTTAGAATTAATCCACACACACAATTCAACATGCAAAGGAGGTAATTTGCTGGGTAGGGGGGGTTAGGTAGTGTTACTCAAATTCAGCTTTGTTTTTAGAGCCAGGCAAAGCAGGACAGACACCAAAGACATCGAGCAGTGGAGATGTGCTGTCCCAGCTGCCTTAACGCAGCCCATAAATTATTGTTGGCACTGAATAACATCTGAGGCACTAGCAGTGCATCTGCCTCAAACATTCTTTAAAAATTAGGGACTAAAGTATCAATATCAGCAAAAAAGAAAAGCAATTTTTAAGAGAGAACTACAGAGCTCTGTTAGAGGACAGGACAGCCCAGTGTTCTGCTCTAGCACCGTGTGACAACTAAGGTGGGGATCAGACACAATGAGAATTGTGTTGCCTAATGCCATCACCGTCTGTGATGGGCTCGTGTGTCAGGGTGGCCCAGGGTGTGTTGGGGTGACCCTGTGCCAGGGGGGCTCCTGTGTTGTCAGGGTGACCCCTGGGTGACCGTACCCTGCGCTCGCCCTCCCGCTGCACGAGCTCCTTGTGGCGCTGCCGGGCCCATCTCTCCTCTTTTTCCTCCTCCCTCCACTGCTCTTCCTCCTCTTGCCAACGGCGCTCTGTCCCCTGGGCACGGAGAAATTGGGGCTGAGATTCGGCACCTTCACCATTCCTGTGTGTCTGTGGGAACCTCGGCCTACCTGTGCCTCCAGCTCCTGCCTGTGGTCTGTCTTCAGTTCCTCCTCCTGCTCCTTCTCCCTCCGACTGAGTTCCTTTGCCTCTTCAAGTTCTCTGATCAGCTGCTCTCGATACTTCAGGGTCTCTTCCTGCGCACGTCTGTTTAACTTGATTTTCTCTTGGATCTGGCGCTGTCTGCCTGCAAAGACCTGTGGGAAGGTAGAGGATGGAGGGAGAAGGTGGTTAAGCAGTTCCCAGAAAACACATCAGACAAGGAGAAAAATTCTGCCCTGGGTACAGAAGGCTGTGACCCTCTGGAGGATATAAGGTTACAACTGGAACAACGGTTTCTTCGTGACAAGGGAGAAACCTCATCAAGAAGGGTCATCACCTCATTCATCAGGCGATCTCTGGCCACCTTCTCCCTTTCCCATTCTTCTTTCATCATCTCCCACACTTTTTTAGCTTCTTCCCTAAAGGAGAGAGGAGGATTTATCTCCGAGGTTAAAAAAACCCTGTATACTCCACAGGCATAGAGGAGCTACCTCATGCTTTAGAGGAGCAATTGGGTTTCTCTTCATGTTTGTTCCCAGGGAGGTGGCGTGTCCACCAGCCTGTGCCTCTGAGACCCTCTGACCAGGAACATTCAGCACACACAGTGTTCAGAGGATGTTCAGAGGTGGGCAGACTCACGTAAAAAGAGTCTCTAGCTCTGCCTCCCTCTCCTTTTCCAGCTGGAGCTGTTCCTCGATGACACGCTTCATCCAGGCCACGTCTGCCACCGCCTGTTCCCGACACCCCAACTGCCAGAGATGATTCTCATTTTCTCTCTCGAGGAGGGCTGATAAGATTTGCCTGTCTGTCTCCTGGAGATAAACCACAAGATTAACAACTGTCCAACAGGCTTCCAGCCTGTGTGCAGGGCTCCTGTCCAGTGTAACTGGTGACAGTGGTGAGGGTGTGCTCAGCAAGATGCTCCGTCTGCTGCTTCCCCGTGAGCTTTGTGCCCCAGCCCTGTGCACAAGCTGGAAGGGGCCTCCTGACCAATTAGCTGGAGGCATCAGAGGCAGACACAAACAAAACACACAGAGCAATGTTTTTCACCACACAGTAAAGTATGAATCAATCTCTTACCAGCTCCTCCTGTATCTGCTGCGCTCGTCTCTTTAACTGGGCACCACACTGATGCCTCAAAAAGCGACTGAAGGAGAAAAAAAAATGGCAAAATTAAAAAAAAAAATCAAACATTCAAACTGACTCTATAAGCCCCTTGTTACTGTACACCAACACTCAAGGAGGAACATCTGTGACAACATGACTTAGAGGCAGCAGAGGAACCTGCTGCAACAAACAAAAAGAAGAAAGGGCACCAGCGCATCTGCTCCTTGGCTGTTGTGGGTGAGTCCATCAAAATCCAAATATGTACATCCTACCACTGCTAGCTGGAATATCTCCTCATGCCTCAAGTAGTGCTGTGGACTCAGGAACAGATTCTATCCAAAACAAGCTCCACTTGGTGTCATACCCAAGCTCTTTCTGCCTTCGGTGCTCTTCCATTTGTTTCCTCTCTTCTTCCAAGTTCTCCAGCTCCCACTGCTGCTTTAATAAATTCTCTCTTTCTTTTTTCAGCTTTTTTGTCTAAAAAGGAAAAAACAACCACCAACACAGAGTACATCAGAGAGCTGCAACATGCCAGAAAGCCTGTTTGACCAGAGTTTGTACCCCATTGCTGCTCCTCTGCAGGCACTGAAAATCCCCCCTGCAGTCGTATTCCACATTCACTTAATTCATGGCTCACAGCACAGAGACACTGAGGAGCTCCTGCTGGCAAAGCCTTTGACCTGGACCTGCCACACTTAGAAGTTCCTACAAATCCTTTTCTCATCTGATGCAGCACAAAACAGCACTTGCACTTCACAGAATCCCAGACTGGTTTGGGTTGGAAGGGACCTTAAATATCATCCACTTCCAACCTGCTGCCATGGGCAGGGACACCTTCCACTATGCCAGGTTGCTCCAAGCCCTGTGCAACCGGGCCTTGAACGCTTCCAGGGACTTCCTTGAACCCTTCAAGAGGAGCAAACAAGCTACAAGGGTTCAGCCATATGGCAGCATTCAAGGCAGAGGTCTGCACTAACAACAGAAACTGTCACAGCTATCTTCATCCCAGATTTCATCCAGTGCAAACCCAGAGGGAAGAGGTCAGCTTGCTGTATTTCCAAGTGAAGCAGTATTTCCAAGTGAAGTTTCTCCTCAAATGAGGAGTAATTTAAGATTACCTCTGCCTCCTGCAATTTCAGTTCTTCTATCTGCTGCAGCAACATCTCTGCTTGATTCTTCTTCTCCAGCTGATGCTTCTCTTCCTCTTGTCTCACCCTTTCCAGCTCTTCCCTTCGTGCCATTTCGTACTTGTTTTCATAACATTTCTTCTCTTCCAGTTCAGTCACCTCTTCCTTTCCCAGCCAAAAGAAAACATAGCATTTCAGGTTAGGCTAATGCAAACAAACAGCCTCTGGCTCAGATCCACAAATCAGCCTCCTGCAAGCTGGATGGTTTATTAATAGTGCCCTTCCTGTAGAACTCCTTATTGCTGTGGGAATGAGCTCCATGCCCTTGGTTGTTATTTGATTCAAGACCGAAAGAAAACAAACAAACAGCAACTCCTGTTCCTCCCACCTCTGAGCCAAGTCCATATGGGAAGACAAGATGTCTGCCAGCCAGGGCAAAAGGCACAAGTGTCACACTCCACCAGAGTCCTCCCAGTGACAGAAACACCACGGCTGCCCCTCCATACCTTGTTTTTATTTGTTAGCTGATCACCCCAGGCCTCTATCACGTGCTTCTTATGCAGCTGTGACTCCGCCTGGAAACACAACAGACATGGCATGGCAATCAGTGCCAGAGGTTCTCCTGTCCCCTGGGATCTTCCAGACTCTCTGGAGCACCATCTGGCCCAGCCACAGCCCTGAAGTCCCAGCAGGATGTGCCTCTGCAGAGGTGGGTTTGTCTGGGTGTCCACAGTGCCCACCAGGTCCCAAGCTGAGGGTCAGCCTCACATGGGAAACACCAGTGTGACACTGACACCAGGGCTGGAGCAGCAGGTGGGTGGAATAAAGAATAAGGAAGTACCACAGCATGGCAGGGACTGCTGTAAAAAGCACCCGAGACACTTACATTGTGGAGGCTGAAAATCTGCTCTGAGTGAACAGACTTTTTTAAAAATACTGGCTTTGAAAGGGCTTCTTACACAGTTAAACCATTTCACTTTGCCTTTTACTGATCAGAACTTGGGGCAGTTGCTGTGATAAGAGAGACAACAATATATGTTAAAACTGGTTTAATAAGTACAAGGCAGCACGGACTAAATAGAAAGTAACATCACCTCCTGGAGCTCTGTGTTGTTTTCCTTCCAGTGCTCTTGCAGCAGCCTCTCAGCAACCTGGGAACAGAGAGCTGGGTCAGGTCAGGACAGGGGAGGGCTCGGCATCCCACCCCCCGCCCCAGGGTTCAGAGCACCAAGTGCTGAACAGCGAGGAACTCCTGGGGACCCCCAGCAGGTCCCGCTAGCACAGCTAAAACACGGGAGCGGCCCTTCACGGGGAGGGATGCGGGACAAGCCCCGGGATGCGGGACGAGCCCGGTCGGGCCGCGCCCTCACCTTCGTCCCGCGCTCCTCGCGGCTGCCCCGCGGCTCCTCGCTCCGCATCCCGCCCCGCGGCTCCTCGCTCCGCATCCCGCCCCGTGGCTCCTCGCTCCGCATCCCGCCCCGTGGCTCCTCGCTCCGCATCCCGCCCCGCCGCCGCTCCCGCAGCTCCGCCGACAGCGCCTCCCGCTCCTCGCGCAGCAGCCGCCGCAGCCGCTCCCGCCGCTCCTCCAGCCGCTCCCGCCGCTCCGCCACCGCGCTGCCGCACACCGGGGTGTCAGGGGGACGCCGGGGTCCCCCCGGGACCCTGCCCGGCCCCCCGGCCGTACCTGCGCGGGGGAACGCGGGGCTCGCTCCAGCGCGCCTGCCGGGAGCAGCACACGGCGGCGCGGGCGAAGGAGCGGCTGGTGCGCTCCCACTGCTGCCGGTTCCGCTCCTCCAGCTCCCGCCGCTCCGCCCGGCGCTCCGGGCTGCGACCCCTCAGCAGCCACATCGCCGCCCGCTGCCTCGGCAACGCGCCTGGCGCTACGGGCAGCGCCGAGGGACGCAGCGAGACGGGCTCCGCGGAACGGGAGGGAGGCGGGGACGGAGGGAGGGACTCGGGATGGAGAGAGGCGGGGACGGAGAGAGGCGAGGGTGGAAGGACGGGGACATGAGGGGGTGCTCCCGGTGACCCGACCCGGCGGTGCCGCCGCGCCCCGAGCGCTCGCAGGACGCGCAGAAGCGGCCCCTGAGCCGAGCCCGGGGAGATGCCACTGCGCCGGGTTGGAGCGCCCGGACCGGCGGGGTTTATGGCGCTGTAAATATTCCAGGGGTTAAAGGTTTCTGTCTCTGCCCGCCTTGGCACCAGCGCGTCGCCCGACCGGGCTGGGTGACCCGGGACAGGCTGGGCACCGCGGGACGGGCTCCAGGCACCCCGGGTGGGGCTGTGGGCACCCTGGGACGGGCTGGGCACCGTGGGGTGGACTCCGGGCATCCCGAGAAGGGGTCAGTGCAGCACGGGATGAGCTCCGGGCACCCCGGGGTGGGTTCCAGGCACCACGGGGGTTGTGTAGTATCGGGGACAGCGGTGGTAGCAGCCGGCAGGCCCCGCAGGTGCCACCGCCGGTGACCCGCAGCTCCCCGCACCCGCCTTGTATCCGCACCCTCCCTTCGAACTGCCGATCGCTATCGTCCCACGACCTGTTTTTCCAGAATAACCGGTAAAAACACCGCGTTTGGGGCTCTGTCGCCAGCAAATCGCCTCCCGGCGCTCCGGACGGGCTGCACCTCCCTGCGCTCCCACGCCTCCCTCCTTCACCTCTCCGTGTCCCCCGCTCGGTGTCATTTTCCCACCCAACCCCCTCCACTGAGGTGTTTAACCACCCCCGCGCGTCGAGGTTTGTTTTCCATCTGCTCCCTATGAAATATTCATCTCCCGTAAATAATTCAGGGCGGCCCGCCTGGCACACGGAGTGCAGGCAGGGCAGAGCGGGGTCGTGTGTTCCCCCTCTCCCCACGGCTGAAGGGACTCTGAGGGGGCTCTAGGGGCGTGGCCTCCTCGCCGCGCCGCAGGTCCCGCCCCCCTTCGCTGCGGCCAATGGCCGGGCACCGCTCGTATGGGCAGTGCACGGCCATTGGCCGCAGCAGAGGGGGGCGGAGCGTGGTGTGGGCGCGCTGCCGGGTCGGCCCCCGTTAGCTCCAGACCCCCCTCAGCCGGGGAGCGGTGAGGGGGAAGCGGAGGGGGTGGGTCATGGCGCTTCTGCTGGAACATGAGTTCAAGCCCCTGCCGGCTGACAAGCAGATTGAGACCTTGCCCTTCCTGGAGGCCGTGGCGCACCTGCCGCCGTTCTTCGGTGAGACCGGGCTGGCCGGGGGTGGGAGGTACGGGCTGGGATAGGCCTGCTGCGAGCTCAGCTGCTCCGCGGTGCCCCCTGCACAATCCTGGGTCGTGATTCCCTTACCTGATTCACAGCCCCCCCGAGGGGCTCACCCCGGACTTGGCTGCTGTGCCTGGGCCGAGGTTGCATCACAGTCCCGTCAAACCCGCCGAGCAGCGCCGTTGAGGAGCGTCCTGGAACACCCCATCCAGAGGCACCGCCCGGGGCAGGGGCTCTCCCATGCCAGCCATGGATCCCACCCGTGTCCGGACCTGAGTGGGTGTCGGCGCGGCCACCCTCGTGTCCCGGCGTGTCCGCTGCCCTCCACAATGTCGGCTATTGTGTGGCGGCTCCGTGGCAGCCCCGGAAGGGCAGGACATGGGGCTGCCGGGCTGGGGACGGGCAGTGTCCGGAGCCTGTCAGGCTGTTCCAGGACGTTCTGCCAGGGCTGTGTCCCGGAGCCGGGGGGGGTTGGAGGTCGCTGCTTTGGCCGCAGTGGGTGGCAGGGCTGTCCAAAGGGCCAGCAACCCAAAGATCCTGTCCCAGTCCCGCTGGCTCGTGTCTCAGCACCCAGGCTGTTCTTAAGGTAAAACCTGTTGGTTAAGGGGACCTGGTGTGTCTCCTGTGTCATCAGTGTGTAAACGTCCTCCTTCCACATTTTCACAGATTGCCTGGGGACTCCCATCGTCTACTCGCCGGTCAAAGCAGACCTGACTGGAAATATCAAGGTAGGAAGGGGCTCAGGAGGGCTTAGGGAGAACCCCTGGGCAGGGATGCTGTGGGATTGGAGAGACAGGACCTAGAGGTGTTTCAAAGGGCTCTTCTTCCCACGGAGACTTCTGGGCTCAGCAGTGGCTCATTCGGTGTCGTGTTTATTCCCGGGGCTCCTGCCCAGAACCCTGTGAGCAGCCATCGTGTTTCCCCGCTCCGGTGCTGCCCTGCCCGGCAGCTCCCGGGAGCCAACCCCCTTCTCTGCCCTCAGAAAATCCGGGCTGTTTATGACTCCAACCCTGCCAAGTTCAAAACGCTGCAGAACATCCTGGAGGTGGAGAAGGAGCTGCACGGCTCAGCCTGGCCCAAGACGGGCGCGACACTGGCGCTGATGTGGTTGAAAAGGTGACTCACGGCATCGGGAGCTGTCTCAGCACGTGGGGAGCTGGTGAACACCGGCTGGAGGCTGTGTAGGCTGGGCTGCTCCCTTGGGCTGGGTCTGGCCATTTTGGGGAACACAGCTGTTGGGAACTGCCTCCTCAAAGCTCCCCTGGGAATGCACGTGGAAACTCAACCTCAGAGTATGACCCCACAGATTGTCTGGACAGGCCAGGACCCTGCGGTGCCAGGAGACCCCATGGGGCTGCACTTGGCCCTGCCCAGCTCAGCCCTTGGGCCCAGCCTCGCCTGGGGGCTCCATCCTGCCCTGATCCCCATGACTCCCCCAGGGGCTCCATCCTCCTCCAGTACCCATGTGCTACCCCACAGGGTTCCATCCTACACAGGTCACCAGGGGCCATCCTGTCCCTGTCCTTCCTGGGGGGCTCAGTCCTGCCCTTCTCTCTCTCTTCCCTGGAGGCACCCACAGGGACAGTCACCAGCCCTACAAGGGGAATACACTGCTGAGACTGTGGGACTTTTGGGATACTTGGACACGCAGGGCTGGAAGCTGGGAAGCAGCACCCCTTTTCCTCACCCCAACATCTCTGCTCTTCCCCCAGGGGCCTGAAATTCATACTGGTGTTGCTGCAGAGCATCTCCGATGGCGAGCGGGATGAGGAACATCCCAACCTCATCCGAGTGAACGCCATGAAGGCTTATGAGATCGCACTGAAGAAATACCATGGCTGGATGCTGCAGAAGCTCTTCACGGTGAGCGCTCCCCCCTCTCCAGTCATCCAAATACCATCCCTGAGGTTGTTCCCATGTGCTGATGAGCGTCCAGAGACCCCGCGGCACAACCCAACCCATGGTCTCCGTTGGGTGTGTGGGAGTCTAACACCTTCTCCCTGTTTTACAGGGCTCAGTCTACGCTCTTCCCTACAAATCCGATCTACTGAAGGCCTTGGAGAAGGGTAGAGAAGTAAAGGAGGAGGAAAGCATAGAAAAAATCCATCAATTTCTCACGAGGGTCACCCCAATCCTGGATGCAATTTATGAGATGTACACGAAGATGAACGCCGAGCTGAGCTACAAAGCCTAAAGCTGGCACGGGACTGGCATGGATTAAATAAGGTGTGATGGGTGTTACCTGTGTCTTCATCACTGAGGCAGCCGGGGCAGCTCCCGGCTCTCCTGTGACTTCAATTCCTGTCTGGATCTGCAGTGGATAACCTGTTTTCTAACCAAAAAATAATAATCATTAATTTTCTATTAAGAACACGGCAATAAAACAATTGTGGATGTCACTGTAGGATTTTCCCAAGAGGAAAACCAAGTGTTTCTAGTCCCAGCTCCCGGATTCCTGTCTCCGGTGGGGCAGGGAATGAAGTGTGGCGATGGCAGCGTCCTGCTGATGAGACCTTGGACCTGTCTGGCACTGGGACTGCGCCCGGATCCCGCCACACACCGACAGCACCTTGTGCCGATTGGCACCGGATCATCCGGAATGATGCCCAGAGCAGAGGAGCCAATGACTTCCCGGGTGACCCTGATTTCTCTGGCGCCGGCGTGGGACCGAGTCCCTCCGCCGGGATGCGGCAGCCGGGTCTGTGCCGGTGGTGTTCGCGGTGCCTTACGAGCCCCCTCACCTTCTGTGCTGCCGATCCCCCGCACGGGGCAGGAGCAGCACTTAATAAAAACTGACAGTACCACGGCTTGGGAGGCTCATTTGGGGCTGTCCCCGGGGAATTCTTTTTGGGAGAGTGCTTTGGGGCTTTTCGGGGGGGGGCTGTTTTGCAAAGGGTGTTTTGGGGCTGTTCTGGAGGGAGCTGTTTTGCAAAGGGTGTTTTGGGGCTGTTCTGGAGGGAGCTGTTTTGGTTCAAGGGTTTTTTGGGGGACTGTGCCTCGCAAGGGCTGTTTGTGGGAGAGTTTGGGGGTTGTTTCAGGGAGGGTGTTTGGGAGGCTGTTCTGGGGAGGATGTTTCAGGTCTGTTTTGGGGGATTGTTCCTGGACGGGCTGTTTTAGGAAAAGGTGTTTGAGGAGGGTGTTTGGGGTAGCTGTTCCTGGGGGGGACTGCTTTGGAAGGGTGTTTAGGGGCTGTTCTGGGCAGACTGTGTCAGCAAGGGTGTTTTGGGGAGGGTGACTTGGGGCTGTTCTTGAGGGAGCTGTTTTTGGGCAGGATGTTTTGGAGCTGTTCCTTGTTTCAGGGAGTTTGTTCCAGGGGAGTTTATTTAAGGGAAAGTGTTCTGGGGGGTTGTTCCCGGAGGCTGTTTTGTAGCGGGTGTTCCCAGGGAACCGTTCCGGGCCGAGCCAGTGCCCGGTGCCGCAGGGGCGGGGAGGGCGGGCAGGGGCCGATCCCGCGGGCGGGTCCCGGTGCCGCCCCCGCCGCTGGAGCCGGGGCCGGGCCGGGGAGCGGGGACCGGCCCCGCGGAGACTCGGCGGCGCCGGAGCGGACGGGACCCTCCGCGGGACCCTTCGCGGTACGGACCGGGGGGAGCGGGCAGAGGGGGGGCACGGCCGGGGGTGGGACGGGCCGGGACACGGGGGCCAGGGCAGGATGAAGCCTCCCGGGGAGGAACAC